ACTTCTCGTAAGCTTTTTTTTTTTTTCCCAACGGGACTCAGAACACGGGGGGTGTCAGGCTGAGACCGAGGAGCCGTTTATGTGAAGGTCAGACCGGCTTCGTTGTAGACTTTGAAGACCTTCTCGATCGCGTTGACGTAGGCAGCTGTTCTCAGGTCCAGGCCGAGATTGTACTTCATGGCGGTACGCATGATTTGCTACGGGACATTAAAAATGGCAGAGTTAGGACCTTCGCTACGCTTTTCAAAATCCTCGTGGGAAACCACTGAATACTCATGAATGTTTTGCCTTCATGTTTATTTTTGGGGCGACCTGCAAACCTGTAAATCAAACCTGGAGAAACAAATCTCCTGGGAATACTACTGGATTCCAACTGCTATTGGCTTCAGCTAAAACAAACCAGGTTCAGAGAGTAGAAGCTCTTACTGAGGAATATTTAAGCAGAGGTCCTCAGCCTTTGGGGGACCAGGGACTGGTTCCGTGGAGAGAGGTTTTTCCGCGGACCGGAGGGTGGTGTGGTTTGGTGTGGTGTGCTGCCAGCTTTGCTTGTTTGTGTGGACTGGTTGCTGGTGTGCCACGGCCTGGTACCGGTCCACAGACCGGGGGTTGGGAACCCCTGATTTAGAGGGTTACCCGTTATGCTTTTGTTCAAAGATCTATCCATTTTTTTATTTAAAAAAACGGGGGAATTCAAAACTCGGCTAGTTGTGAAACTGCACGAAAATAAGGGACAGTTAAGGATAGAAATATCCCAATGGGGGCTCTGATGACCATCCATGGCATTTAATGTTCCAATACCTACCCGTGCGGATCGCTCCATGGTGTAGGCCAAGCCCGAATGCACGATGTCTTTCTCCGAGGCGCCCTGTCGGGAAAAGAACAGCCATCAAAAGCCCAGTCTAAAGTCACCTGCAAGAGGCTGCTTGGCTTGAGGGGGTCAACCCCCCCCTTTGTAATGTCATTTCTAGGCACAGCCTTTTAATGGAAATTGGTGAATTGAAAGTTTACTTGAACATTGGGTCAAAAACCAGGGTTGGTAGAGGTTTATATACCCGCCAAACTAAAAAAAAATAAAAATCATATGCAACATACATGCTGTGTTTCCCCGAAAATAAGACCCAGTCTTGGTTTTTTGGTGTCAACGCTGCTCACATTGGATGTTTTGGCTTTGACAACAGTTAAGCGATGCAACCATTTTCTTCTTATGTTTTACTTTTAGAGTTAGATGATACTAGGGGAGGGGAGGATTGTGCACGAGAGTTTAGATAGACGTAACAATACTGGACCTAGTGTGTGAACCAAGGTTAATGAAATAAGAGATAAGAATTGGCGGGCTGGAGAACTGGAGGGAAAGCCTGCATTTCAAGCTAATTGGGGAATGTGATTTGACTGTAAATTGGAGGAAGGAATTGTGCTTTGATACTATGTGCTCAGGGGAGGGGAATCCAGTTTTTGGCTTCGATTATGAAGTGCCGATATTATGCTACTCGAATAAAAGATAAACAATACCTCGAAGTTCTTTGAAGAGTTGCATGTCGGAACCATGACATTTGGTTTTTGGCCTCCAAAAGAGATACCAGGTCTTATTTTTGAGCGGTGTCTTTTCCACTCACCCCTGACACCGACAGCGCCACCCAGCCGGCCCACTTCTTCTGCAGCCGAAGGAGCTGCTTCATTCTGCAGCTGCATGCCGGCCTGCAATTTTGCAGTCAGGCCTGTCCGGAAGGCCTATGCAAGCCTTCAATCCATCGCTCGGTTCTCGGCTGCAGTGGCCTTCCGAAAAGGCCCGTGACTGAGAAATACAGACCTGGGGACGCCGCAGAAGAAGTGGGCCAGCGAGGAGAGGCTTGGCTGCAACGGTAAGTGGGTGTAGGGCGTATGGGGCAACTCCACCCCCCAATCCCCTGTCAATGCTGCAAATACTGTATATTCTTGCTTTGACAAAATATGCAGAACTGTCTGGTATTTTTAGAGTTAATTCAGATGATGGTGGGGGGAGGAGAAAGATAGGACTGCAGGCGGGAAGAGAACGGCAGAGAACCTCTGCCCTTCCACCTGATAGGAGAACGTGAGATATGACAGCAAATTTAGGGAGGGAACATGCTGGTAAATTAATTGCTCAGGGGAAGAGAATTTCAGATCTTAGCATCCACTTTCGTTATGCCTGTGCTGACATTTTGTAACAATAAATTACTTTTAGGAAAATCAATGCCTGGAAGTTCTTTGAAGTGTTCATTAGCTGGAACCATAACATCCCCATCCTAGCTTGATGTTTAGACATCTGCTTTGCCCCCAAACTAGGGCGTATTTTTGGGGTAGGGCTTATATTAGGCCCACCCCCAAAAATCTTTTCAGAATAGGTCTTACTTTTGGGGAAACACGGTATTGCGTACCGGAATTAATGCACAATATTCTAACGATATCAAGTTTAGACTTCACTTGGGACCATCAGTTCTGATTTCAGAACTGTAACACGGGTAGTCCTCTATTTAACGACCATTCGTTTAGTGACTGTTCAAAGTTACAACAGCACTGCAAAAGTGACTTGCGGCCGTTTTTCACACTTACGACCATTGAAGCGCGCCCACCCCCTCATGGTCACGTGATCAAAATTCAGACGCCTGGCAACTGACTCGTATTTATGACCGTTGCAGTGTCCTGGGATTCCCTTTGGTGACTCTTCAACAAGCAAATTCAACGGAGGAGCCAAATTCACTTAACAAGCGTTTTACTCCCTAAACAACTGCAGTGATTTACTTAATAACCGTGGCAAGGGAGGTGGTCAAATGGGGCAGAATTCACTTAACATCTAGTCTTGCTTACCCACATAAATTTTGGACCCAATCGTGGTTGTAATTCGAGGACAACCTGTGTTTGAAACTCTTTTATCAGTCCATTTATTCTTGGCGTTTATAAATATGAGCTGAGCCAAAGCGTCAGCCTTCAACGGAGTTGAAGTGCAGCATTTTAGCTTATTTCTTCAGATTTCTCTGCAGAGTTTGCTTAGACCTACCTATTTAATGAAATTAAATGTTTCCAAGAGCTACTTACAGATATTCTATCCTGGAATTCCGCAGTGGGCACAACCGGAATACTTCCCCCGTGTTTCCCAAACTTCCTTTCCAAGCTTTCCTGAACTGACACTGAAAGAAAGGAAAACCGCCGATTAAAACTCCTGGCCAAGGGTGATCAAAAGACGGTTCTTCTCAGTAGAGTAAATTTCCTTCTTTAATGCGCTGCCAAGGTGGATCTGCTTTCTCTCAAAGGCGGGAATTTCCTTGTATGCCATTAATCTGCCCAAAACATTCAGCAACGCAATGCCAAAAAACCCCACTGCTATAATTTCCAGCCAAAACCAGTTAAAGCCACCAGGCCTGGTGCGCCTCCGAAAGAGATCAAGCAGCTCAGAACATGCCCACCAAGTGGGCCAAGGCTGGTATACGAAGGTCAGAACCCGTTCCACGTACTTAGTAGATGGTAGTTTGAGTCCCTTTCGTACTTGAAGGTCAAGCGGCCGTAGCTGACGTGGTTCAGGTTCTTCAACCACTCGAAGTAAGATACAGTCACACCACCGGCATTTAAATAAAGGTCCTGTGGAAAGGAGAAGTGAGGAGATGAAAAATAAGTAGACCAGTTCAGGTTAGGAATGATCTACGGTAGTGGCCAAAACTGTGGGAAAAGTGTACAGTAGAGAAATGCCACCTTTGGTTAAGTTTCCACCATTTTTTCTTCTAATTTCTTTATAACTGTAGCCTTGTTCACTTAATAACACTATTTTACATCGCTTTCTGGGCAACCAGTCAACTCTTTGCACCATGACTTTAATTTTATTACGTTATACAAGATCACGAAATGAAAGAACACCAAAAAAGCCAACCGACTTGATAGCCATCACATAACACACTGACCAATGTCCTCCTCTCAGCTTCAATACAGGACATCAATCACTGAATCCTACTGTGATCTGATTGGCTCATGGCCAAAACAAGATGACACCCGATTGGCTCTCTAAACGCTCACGCTCATTGGCTACCATCGGATGAAGGAAAGCTACCTGAGATCAACCTAAGCAAGTTGTGCTTCCTTTTTCTGGTTATTTGGCTATAACTTTTCATAGAATACAGTACATATAATTGAACAAACTCTGTTGCATTACATTCTTGATTAAATTATGTTCCCATTAATATATAATTTTATGGTACTACTCCCCCCCAAAAATTGGTGTTATTAGCCATCAAACCTCAAAAATACTTTTCCCAAAAGGTTTCCACAATTTTGGCCACTGCTGTAGATCAGGGGTATCAAACTCGCAATGTCACGTGACGTGTCGTGACATATCGCAACTTTTTTTCCATTGCCGGCAATGGGATGCGCGCTGATTCGGCATGACGCATTGTTTGATCTAGACTGAACAGGCAGGTAGATTTAATTTGCCTTGACCGTCAGCAGTTCAGATTCTTGTAGAGAGCCTCAGCTTGAAATAAACATATATATATATATACTCATTTGAACTGCCTGGACTCCTGATTTTCTGCACTTGACAGCCGTCGACTTAAAAGTGAACTGACAACTACAATTGACACACCCTTATTGACAGGCACATCAAATGAAGAGCAAAGAATTCAAACAAAAATAGAATTCAGGGTTGACAGAATCCCGGGCATGTCTAGATGACTGTGTTTGACGTTTATTTGTATACTTCTTTTGTTGTATGCCTGTTCTGTCTCTTTTTGTGAGATGGGTGGGCCGCACGTATTAGATAAAGGAATAAGTAAATAAAAATTCAAGGCACGGAAGAAAGGTAAGGAGGCATCGCTCTGCGAAGAGTAGCAGAAAGGAAGAAGTAACTGCCTTCGCATCTTGTTCAGCGGCCAAGGAACCAGTTTAACGGTTTCGGGGAATCCATTTTTACTCCCACCCAATTGGTTGTATTCATCTCTGGCTTTGAGCCAGCATTCAGGAAACAGTCCCCAACAAGGAGAAGGTCCCTAGAGTTTCCTTCACTTTAATAGCTTGAAGTTTCCTCAGGTTGAAGAGCTTCCCATCCACTAGGTCAGGGATAGGCCACCTTGGCTCTTTTATGACTCGTGGACTTCAACTCCCAGAATTCCTGAGCCAGCCATGCTGAGGGGAAAGGGAGCGGTTTCCAAGCTGAGCTACACCAGCTCAGGAATTCTGGGAGTTGAAGTCCACGCGTCATAAAAGAGCCAAGGTGGCCTACCCCTGGCCTAGATGATAGGAAACTTGGCTCTTTTATGACTCGTGCACTTCAACTCCCAGAATTCCTGAGCCAGCATGGCTCAGCTTGGAAACCTCTCTCTTTCCCCTCAGCATGGCTGGCTCAGGAATTGTGGGAGTTGAAGTCCACGAGTCATAAAAGAGCCAGGGTTGCCTACCCCTGCACTAGGTTAAGCCAACTAACCCCAAAAGCTTCTTGGAAACGTGGGATGGAATTGTCAGAAATCAAGATGAAGGTTCAGTCCCATCCACTACCAGACTAGCTGAAGAATTTTGGGGGAGTCAGTCAAAGAGATCATGAAGATCTAAAGGTCCTGCCTCTGCTGATGGAGCTTTATGGGGGCTGACGATGGCTGAGGGAGATTCATTCCTGCTTCCAAACTAAGCCATGGCAAGGAGGAAGAGTGGGGTGGGTTCAACAGAACTTCCTTCCTTATAGACCAGGGGTAGGCAACCTTGGCTCTTCTAGGACTCGTGGACTTCAACTCCCAGAATTCCTGAGCCAGCATGGGTGAACTATGGCCGCCTCATGACTCGTGGACTTCAACTCCCAGAATTCCTGAGCCAGCATGGCTCAGCTTGGAAACCTCTCCCTTTCCCCTCAGCGTGACTGGCTCAGGAATTCTGGGAGTTGAATTCCACGAGTCATAAAAGAGCCAAGGTTGCCTACCACCACCACCACCCCGTTATAAACCAAGATCAAAGACTTGCTAAGCCCGCAGGGGTCTCCAAGCTTGGCAACTGTACGACTTGTGGACTTCAACTCCCAGAACTGAATGGGTGGCTGAGGAATTCCGGGAGTTGGAAGTTCACAAATCATAAAAAGTTGCCAAGGTGGGAGAACCCTATGTTAGGGTATGACTGAGGATGAAGCAAAAGCAGTTTTCATCGTCTACATTGATATTTTTTTTTTGTATCCAACGGAGCCAAAGGCAGACAGCCTTGATAACTTAATTTGCTACTAAAAGATACGGTCCTGAAAACAGATTAAAATCCATTCTGTTCATTTAAGAAAAACCCTGCAGAATAGTTGTTGTATTTTTTTTTTTAAAAATCAGAAGTTATCTCCATCAATCACCTTAACGCTGTTTTTCACCCCAGGTAACAACTATCAAAAAGAACCTTACTGGAATAACCATGATGTTCCGTTCCAAGAATATCTTATCTGCCTCAGGGGTTGTGGGTCCATTCGCACCTTCGGCAATGATCTGGAAAGAACCAAGAGAGTGTCACCATTAAGACCAGGAAATCTTTGAGACAGCAAAAGGACTTGGCAGAGAACAGTCTTGGCTGGAGCCGTCGGCCTCAAGCCCGCATTTGCCCGCCCATCTTACTTTTGCTCTGACTTTCTGAGCGTTGGCTTTTGTCAACTGTTTCTCGCTGGCCGCTGGGATGAGGATGTCACAATCGGTTTCAAGAATATGGCAGTCGAGAGTCTGGGCTTTTGGATAGGTGAGAATGGATCCGTGTTGCTGTTGAGAGACACACGATGGAGATGACGACGCTTGAGCGCAGTGGTGGCGAACCTTTTAGAGACCGAGTGCCCAAACTGCAACCCAAAACCCACTTATGTATCGCTGGGTGCCAGGTGGGCGTGGCCCACTGGATGGGTGTGGCTGTGGTCATGGCAGATTGGGTGGGTGTGGCCAAGGTGGGCATGGTCACCTCGATGTTGCTCGTGGGGAGGGACGCCTGGGGGGAGTGGGCAGGGTTGGGGGAGATCCAGGGGGTCTCTGGCAGGTGCGGTGATAGGCAGGAGGCTCGTCCTGCGGGGTGAGGTGAGGCAGGGCGGCTGCTGCCTGACACCATCGGCCCCCGCACACAGAGGCCAGCAAGTGCATGGGGGGCCATCGGTGTCCGTCAACAGCCGCAGCCTGCCGGCCCCTTGACCGGTGCACTCTGGGGCTCTGCGGCCCGCCGCCAGCAGTTCAGAGAAGCCGCCTCTGAGCTGGACGGCCGGCCGCCAGCTGAGGAGGCGATGCAGTGGGTCGTGCCCGGGAAAAGGAGAGCATGCGAAGCCAGGAGGGACAGGATGGGGGGCGAGGGAAACCAGCTGTGCCGGGTTGCATCCAGCCACGTGGGACCTCGATGAGTTAGCAGGCGGCTGGTTGAAGAGGAACAGTTGCCATCTCTGGGGCATGGTGCGCGTGCCCACAGAGAGGGCTCGGAGTGCCACTTGTGGCACGCGTGCCACAGGTTCGCCACCACTGCTGCTTTAATGTCTTCACAGAACAGAATAACAGAGTTGGAAAGGACCTAATCCAGAGGTCCCCAAACTAAGGGCTGTGGTCCACTACTGGGCCATGGCCTGTGCTGGCCAGGGCACGCCCGCATGCATGTGCTCACCCCCCCCTTGCACCAGCGTTAGCCTCGCTGCGAGCCTTGTGCCGGCAGCCCCATTTACGAAGCACACGTGCTCATGGCTTCATTCGCGTGCACACACGTGCAGCCACCATTGCGTCTCTGTGCACGTGCGCATAAACGTGCCTGCCTCTCCCTTTGCCACTGGGCCGCCAACCCAGAAAGGTTGGAGACCCCTGTTCTAATCCAACCTCCTACTCAAGCAGAAGACCCTATAGTACTCATTTCAGACAAATGGCTATTTGTCTCTTCTTAAAAGCCTCCTGTGCTGGAGCACCCACAACTCCTGGAGGCAGGTTGTTCCACTGGTTAATTGTTCTCACTGTCAGGAAGTTTCTCCTTAGTTCTAGGTTGCTTCTCTCCTTGGTTAGTTTCCATCCGTTGCTTCTCGTCCTGCCTTCAGGCGCTTTGGAGAATAGCCTGACTCCCTCTTCTTTGTGGCAGCTCCTCAAATATTAGAAGACTACTATCGTGTTCCCCCTCGTCCTTCTCTTCATTAGACTACACATACTCAAACATTACTCCTGGACTAAGGTTCTATATTTCAACCCCCCCCCCAAAAAAAAAACTCTTGCCCAATATATATAAAGCGTTCTATCCAAGGCTTTAGGCAGCCCCGTTATTTTCAGAAGATGGTTTTCTATTTTGTTTACCTCGGCCATTTTTGTGCGTGTGCTCCCCCTCCTTATCCACACCCTACTTGGGAGTTTCACCCTCTTTTGTTATTTTCCTTTGAAGAACTAAAGCTTGACTGCCTCACTCAAGCAAATCTAATAAGGTCTTCCCAATCTGAAGCCCGTTTGCTTCATAAAGGCTTCGAATGCAACTAAGAGAGTGACCGCTAAGCTTCACAGCCAATGAAACAGGACAATTCACAACGGTTAAACCAATTTGCCTACCAGCTTATAATCTTCCAACTCCTTCGGGTCAAGACCATCGGGATTCCAGATCGCGCCGTCTTTTTCTCCAATAGCTACACATTTTGCTCCATAGCGATGAAGGTATCTCATAGAATGCAAACCAACGTTGCCAAATCCCTATGTAAAAAAAAGTGAAAGTAAGTTTTGATTTAGCCTTGCGCGAATCTCTATTTTTCTAGGAGCAGCTTCACGAAGTACAGTGGCCAAAATTGTGGAAACCTTTTGGGAAAAGCGTATTCTTGACGTTTGATGGCTAATAACACCACTTTTTTTGGGGGGGGGGGATAGGTATACAGTAGAAATGCCACCTTTGGTTAAGTTTCCACCCATTTTTCTTCTAATTTCTTTATAACTGTAGCCTTGTTCACTTCATAATACTATTTTGCATCACTTTCTGGGCAACTAGTCAACTCTTTGCACCATTCCTTTAATTTTATTACGTTATACCAGCTCACTCAATGAAAGAACACACAAAAAAACCCAACCAACTTGATAGCCATCACATCACACACTGACAAATGTCCTCCTCTCAGCTTCAATACAGGACATCGATAACTGAATCCCACTGTGATCTGATTGGCTCATTGCCCAAACAATATGACACTCGATTGGCTATCTAAACACTCATGCTCATTGGCTACCATCGGATGAAGGAAAGCTACTTGATATCAACTTAAGCAAGTTGTGCTTCCTTTTTCTGCTTATTTGGCTATAACATTTCATAGAATACACTACAGATAATTGAACAAACTTTGTTGCGTTACATTCTTGATTAAATTATCTTTCCATTGATATATAATTTTATGGTACTACTCCCCCCAAAAAGTGGTGTTATTAGCCATCAAACCTCAAAAATACACTTTTCCCAAACGGTTTCCACAATTTTGGCCACTACTGTATGTTCCTGATTTAAAGCTTGTGTGGCTCATCAATAGCTGAGCTTCCCTGCCTGAAGAATTAAGGATATCACTGTCTTATCTGAAGGCTATCCGTGCCTCAAGGCATCATTGCTCCCTTTCCTCCCCCCGTGTGACTCTCCCAAATCCACTACCTGGATAGCAAACGTCTTGTCTCCAAATCCTGGAGTCATCCCCAAGAGGCTCATGTACGACGCTTCATTGATGAAGTTCTCGATCCCGTGAAAGACGCCACGGCCCGTGGCAGAGATGCGGCCGTGGATGCCGCCCTGGCTGATGGGTTTCCCCGTCACACAGGCATGGGCGTTGATGTCCTGCGAGAGAAGGAAGGACGTTCGGGTGAAAAGGGATGGGCAGAGGTTCTCAAAACGTTTACTGTCGGGTCCGCCAGGCTCAGCTTGGCGCCTCGCGGGCATCCTGCCATCGAAGGCTAGAAGGGGAGGGAAGGATAGAGGGGCAATGAAGCTGTGGGAGGGGGGAATGACAGGTGATAAAAACCAGAGAAGCTGGTTTGCAGCAGTATGCAAGGCTGAGAAAGAACGTGGATTAACCCAAAACATCTCAGCGTTCTCAAAACACAGGTCTAATAATAATAATAATAATAATAATAATAATAATAATAATAATAATAATAATAATAATAATAATAATAATAATAATAATAATAGTAGTAGTAGTAGTAGTAGTAGTAGTAATAATAATAATAATAATAATAATAATAATAATAATAATAATAATAATAGTAATAATAAAGTTGGAAGGGACCTTGGAGGTCATCTAGTCCAACCCCTTGCTCAGGCAGGAAACCCCACACCATTTCGGACAAATGGCTGTCCAGTCTCTTCTTAAAAACGTCCAGTGTTGGAGCATTCACCGCTTCTGGAGGCAGGTTGTTCCACTGGTTAATTGTTCTCACTGTCAGGAAGTTTCTCCTTAGTTCTAGGTTGCTTCTCTCCTGGATGAGTTTCCATCCGTTGCTTCTTGTCCTGCCTTCAGGCGCTTTGGAGAATAGCTAGACTCCCTCTTCTTTTGGGCAGCCCCTGAGATATTGGAACATGGCTATCATGTCCCCCCTCGTCCTTCTCTTCGTTAAACCAGACGTGCCCAATTCCAGCAACCGTTCCTTACATGTTTTAGCCTCCAGTCCCTTGATCATCTTTGTTGCTCTTCTCTGCACTCTTTCTAGAGTCTCAACAACTTTTTTACATCACGGTGACCAAAACTGGATGCAGGATTCCAAGTGTGGCCTTACCAAGGCCTTGTAAAGTGGTATTAACACTTCACGTGATCTTGATTCTATCCCTCTGTTAATGCAGCCTAGCACTGTGTTGGCCTTTTTGGCAGCTGCAGCACACGGCTGGCTCATATTTAGGTGATTGTCCACTAGGACTCCGAGGCTGAGGATGGACTGGTCACAGGGGAAGGGCTGGGAAGAGGTGAAACCTTTCTGTGTCTTCTGAGCACGGGAAACTCAAGAGCTCACCTGACTTTACAGCAGCCAACGTCCTTTACTAAAAGAATCTTTGTGCTGGACCAGATTATAGCCAGCTTAGGAATTAAGAATTTAGGAATTTAGCATTTAAAGGGTTAACGCTGCCTCCTTAAGAGATGGCCTCTGGGTAATGTAGTTCAGCTGTTAGTTAGTCCTATATCTTTATCTAGTCAGTGGGAGGAGCTTCAAAGTTTATCACAGGATGTGCAGGCTACGTCCTAGTGTATGTAAAAGCCTTTGTGTAAGACAGACACACACGGTTCCAGTGCTCCAGAAGAATATGGGGTGAAATCTACCTTTAATATTTCACACCACAAGACGGGAGAGATTATGACACGTTCATCAGAAGAACTCTTCTTGACTGTAAGGGATTGTTTAGAGATTCCTGAAGAATAAATAATCTGAATATTAGTCCATCTTTGGAGCTTATCTGTCTGAGAAAACCAGGATTAAAGCAGATCTCTTGTTTGGACCAGAACAATCTTTCACTTCATCCAAATGGAGTCGAGGGTCTTTCTTTCCTAAAGGATCAGATTGGAGGGTCTGACATGGACCCTGGCGTGCATTAACACCTCCTCTGCCAACTTTTATCTTTACTGGGTTTCGATATGCAAGGACGGTCATTATTTACATCACGGAGGAGTCATTTTCTACACTGCGTCATCCGACTTAGGACAAAGGCTGAAAGATGGAAACGTCCTCTAGGTTTTGCGAAATCATTTCTTCTCCGGGTTTGGCTGATTGTGATTCTTCAAAACAGTGGGCACTGCTTCACTCTGCCCTTGCTGGATCCAGCTCCAAAAGTAGCTGGGTTATTTCTACTTTTGCACAGGTTGTCATTCTTCAAAGAACAATGAATTGCAAATCGCTAGACACCCAAAGCCACTGCCAGAAACGGAAATTTGGGGTCTGCGGAACTGTGTATCTCACTATCCAACTTTACACGCTAAGTCACAAATGCCAAACCATATTCCGATTTCGGAGTTGCGCTGTGAGTTTCTCCATCCTAGCTGCCACTAATGCAGCAAAATGGAGACAACTTGTTTGCAATTTTATCTCTGGATTTCTGAGAGGGACCAGATGGACCGAAATTCAGGAATCTATCATATAAACAGCCAGCTGCAAGCGTCCTTTTCCACATACCCCTTCAGTAACGGATCACAGCAGGACCGTTAGAAAGAAAATAGAAGCATCTCTGCTCTACAGCACAAAGGCATAAATTGGTTCTTAATGAGAAACAGGAAAGTTGCTCAAATTCCTTCTCAAGATGGCCTGCTAAAGAGAACTATGCTTAGAAACAACTTCTTTCATGTTTCTGACAGCTGCCAAAAAGACTGACGCCGAAACGTCACAAATTTAGCTCACAGTGTATTTGCTTTACATTTTTTTCTTGTTCTTCTTTCGTTTACATTTAATGGGAATTCTTTCAAAATACCAACGTTCTTCCCTCTTGGCTTGTCTCGAGGTTTAATACATCTGACTCAACCGCTCCCGGTTATTATTTTCTTCGGCCGATGAGTCAAGATTCGTACGAAATGAAGCTCTTGTTTAATTTGTTATAAAGTGTAATAATGCTGTTGTCATAGTGCCCACATTATGCACCGTAAAACTCTGCAGGGATATTCTGCTCAACCATGTTCAGCTTTGCAATCTGAAGCTTCATCGACAAGAGAAGAGATGGCAGGCCCTAACCCAGGGGTCGGCAACCTTAAACGCTCAAAGAGCCACTTGGACCCGTTTCCCAGAGAAAACACTGGAAGCCACAAAACTTGCAGGCGCGCATGGGGGGGGGAGAAGCTTGATTGAAGAGCTTAATTAAAAAGAAATAGAGGCTGCTGTGCATGAGTTTTCTCTCTCTCTCCCTCCCTCTTCCTCTCTCTCTCTCCCTCCGATCTTCTGCTCACCTGGCAAGCTGGCTTCACGCTGTTCTCCGACAAGCTGACATATATTCTTATTGGGCTGGCTCTCTCCTGCCCTTGATCTGCCAGTCCTCTTCTCCTACTCAGTGTGTGTGTGTGTGTGTGTGTGTGTGTGTGTGTGTGTGTGAGAGAGAGAGAGAGAGAGAGAGAGAGAGAGAGAGAGAGAGAGGGAGGAGAGCTGCTGCTTCCTGCTTCCTGCTTAGACGCAGCAAAGGCAGGAGCCCCGCCCAGTAAGCTTGCCAGCTTGTCCGAGAACAGCGTGAGGCCACTCTTTTTACACACACACGCACACACACACACACACAGAGAGAGAGAGAGAGAAGGGAAGCACAAGTGCCTCTCTCTGTCTCTCTATCTCTCTGCAAATGGCAGAGGAGGGTGGGAGCCACAGGAGAAGGCTCAAAGAGTCACATGTGGCTCCGGAGCCGCGGGTTGCCAACCTGTGATTTAGGGGCTCAATTCTTCTTCCCTTGTCTAGGTAGAGAGATTATCAAGCACCTTGAAATAGCAATGAAGCAACAAGCCGTTCATCTAATCTTAAACTGAGAAGCTTTCAGCCAGAATCCCAAAGGTGCTTTTTCAAAAGGCAAGTGGATTTTCTCTGTTTTTCCTTGACGACGTTTCGCTTCTCATCCAAGAAGCTTCTTCGGTTCTGACCGACTCAAGAAGCTTCCTCAGCTTGACTGAATCCGAATTCGGTCAGGATTGAAGAAGCTTCTTGGATGAGAAGCGAAACGTCGTCAAGGAAAAACGGAGACAATCCACCCGCCTTTTGAAAAAGCCCCTGTGGGACAACCATGACCTGCATGATTGAGAATCTCCATAGACTTTCAATAAGAACATCCTATAAAACACAATTTTTTTAATCATCTCTTGTCTATTAGTAGGCTTTTGAGCTTCACCAAAATCTTTGATAAAGCAGATGAAATTTGGCCCTTCAAATAAACAAGCATTGCAACACAGGCGATCCCCTACAAAGAAAAGCCACTGGCTTTTAAATTCATGAACCGCACCAGTCAGATGAGCAATAAATAAATTCCTTTAGGCAACGAGCTATCGATTAAGGCATTCCCAATTACGGTATAAAATAAGGATTTTTCAGTGAATTCTCTACGACGTTAGACCCGAGAGCAAGAACATGTCTATTTTTAGCAATGTGCTACAAACAGAGAAGAATGCCAGTGAATCAAGGCAGGAAAACCTCTCTTAATAAATCTGGCCAAAAAGGGAAAATTTATTTAGAGCTGCGGCTTTGTGGACTAGAATGCTAAAGAGCAAATTATTTTCTCCTTTTTTTCTCCTCTCCACAATGGGTGCGCAGGAAAACAAAGGCCTGAAGAATTTACACATGGAGCATTTGTCACTTAGTTGAAACTTTATATAGCCTTGCAATCCGGACTGATTTTTTTTCTGCCAAACTTTTAAGTATCCGTCTCAAAGAAAAATGAGTCAGTCAAGAGGTTGTTTAGAAAACTGTTTCCATGGTCCCCCTGAATAAGCAAAATGTTAACTCGGATGAACCGAAGTGGAATAATTCAATTGCTTGCTCATGCATGGAATAATGAAAAGAATTTTAAAAGGAAGGACATTCTCTTGGTGGCCAAAAACCCTAGTCTCGAATTTTCCCCTCTGCCTTCTAGTTGAGGAACGATTGGGTACAAAACTGAATTCAAAAGAAAAGATCCCTGGCACCGTTATTTCCAAAAAGATTATTTTCCCGAGTCGATGATAACAGTTGTCAAAATCGGAAAGCAAAGCTTTCAATTATTATTAAATATTGCCAATTTTTAGAATTGGGCACGGTCTTGTTTTAGGGCTATTACAGCATGGATGTAATTTATGTCCAACAGATGAACTGTTTTCATAGTTTTATACCGGTTTCTTAACAGTCAACAGTGCAAAAACCACCACCTCAACACGTGACCGCCAGTTACATTGCAATGAACTAAATACATCACCCTGCCAACAAAAGTGCTGTTCCCATTCATTTTGCCTGACTTTGGATGTGCTTGCAAATCTAGACAGCATGCTAAAAAGCAGAGACGTCACCCTGCCGACAAAAGTGTGTATAGTCAAGGCCATGGTTTTCCCAGTTGCAATGTATGGATGTGAAAGTTGGGCCATAAGAAAGGCTGAGGGCCAAAGAATTGAGGCCTCTGAACTATGGTGCTGGAGAAGACTCCTGCGAGTCCCCTGGACTGCAAGGCGATCAAACCGGTCAGTCCTAGAGAAGATCAACCCTGACTGCTCTTTAGAAGGCCAGATCCTGAAGTTGAAACTCAAGTACTTTGGCCACCTAATGAGAAGGAAGGACTCACTGGAGAAGAGCCTAAGACTGGGAAAGATGGAGGGCAATAGAAGGGGACGACAGAGAATGAGGTGGCTGGATGGAGTCACTGAAGCAGGAGGCGTGAGCTTAAATGGACTCCAGAAGATGGTAGAGGACAGGAAGGCCTGGAGGAACGTTGTCCATGGGGTCGCGATGGGTCGGACACAACTTCGCAACTAACAACAAGTACAGATTTCTGCGGACAGAACTAGACTGGTTTTATCTAAGTCTAACATTATTTAATCTCAAGTGGCAACAAATGCCAAAGCTTGGGGCATCGATCTTGGCAAACGTGCCCAGATCTCCTCCTCAATGTGCATCTCTATTAATTTACGGCTCCAATACACAGAGAACTAGCAGGCAAGGGACGAGAAGCCAGTGGGGCCTTTGAATGTGAGTCGATAGATTGTGTTAACTCTATGAGGACCTTGGAGGTCTTCTAGTCCAGCCCTCTGCTCAAGCAGGAGATCCTATACCATTTCAGACAAGTGGCTGTCCAGTCTCTTCTTAAAAACCTCCAGCGGTGAAGCAACCACATCTGGAGGCAAGCTGTTCCACTGGTTAATGGTCTTCACTGTTAGGAAGATTCTCCTTAATTCCAGGTTGCTTCTCTCTTTGATTAGTTTCCATCCATTGTTTTTTTTCTTGCCTTCTGGTGTTTTGGAAAATAAGTTGACCCCCTCTTCTTTGTGGCAGCCCCTCAAACACTGGAATACTGCTATCATCTCCCCCCCTAGTCCTTCTTTTCTCTAGACTGGCCATACCCAATTCCTGCAACCATTCTTCATATGCTTTTGTCTCTAGGCCTTGGATCATCTCAGTTGCTCTTTTCTGCACTTTTTCCAGAGTCTCAGCATCTTTTTTGTAATGTGTGGTAGAGAAGCTCTCCTATCCCATGTTAGGTGACCCCACTCAATCACCTAGCACATTGCTAGAGAGGACCACAGAGACACAGATGCAGCCACCTGTCATGTTGGAGGAACAGCTTTACGTGGAATTGAGAATTGAAACTAGCTGGACTCCTCATTCTGCAGGCAGAAAGTTAAAGCTGAAGGAAAATTCCTAGATTACAATTATATTTGGAGAATTTAATTTGTGAAAGAGTCATCCTGGTTTCTGATGATGTTACCTAGTTTGGGTACTGAAACGTCCTCAAGAAAACAACCAAGTTCGGAGAGCGCCAGGGACCCTTCGTGTTTAAAGCAAGAAAGTGTTTCAGAGATAATACATATTTCCAATTAAACTATTTGAGGAAAGACTCTGATTCAACAGTGATGCTTGCAGACCTATAGATCTTATGCTGGCCTTATGCTGCTTGTCCAAAGAACTGCAGATCTGTTCCAGGTCTATGTTAGGTTGTACGCAACTTGAAGAACATGTCGTAAGGCCACTGTGCCATAAGTGAAGCTTGCGCTTTTGTTCAGAACTTATGTCATGCCTCCGTCGGAGCCTGAATCTGTGGAGGAAAATGAGCTGGAACGGGACCCTATGGAGGTCGAGGGGTCTGTGGCTTCAGAGGAATGTGGGGAAGAGCAGGCCGAGGCAGGCCAGGGTCCTTCAGGAGTGGGACAGGAGGAACAGGAGAGGCAGAGTTCAGGCGATGAGCAAGGGCCACCCCCTCCTGATCCTAGAGCACGGAGAGTGGAGAGAAGGAGGGAACAACGCAGGCAGGCTCAACTACTCGGGAGGAGAGCGTCCCACCCCTCTCCACAAGGCACACCTGGAGACTGAGATTTAAGGAGAGGCTGTGGGGAGAGGCATTTATCGGGAACAAAGGCTGATTCCTTGGAGTGTTATGTGTGTGTTGTTGCTGATCTCTTGTTCTTTGACTTCTAATTGGAAACCCGGAAACTCTGACCATTGGACTGGCTGACAACATTGCTTGGGTGTTTAAAGAATTCGGACTGTATTTTGGCTTCCCTACTGAAACTGCTCAGGCAAGCGTGTATTCACACAGACTCTGTTAGGTTTATGATGTATGCGTCATTCCTTGTTATCTCTGTGGCCTTGAGTAAATTCCTCTCCTAATCAGAGTGTATGTGAAACTACTTGCAGCCAGAGGCGGCTGAAGTTGTGTGTGTCTTCCTGTGTTTGGAGGCTTGCCAGAAACGTGGGAGCATTTGGGGAAAATCTGAAGCAATGAAAGGGCGGTTTGAATTGCCAGCTGACTGCATTGCCTCGGTGCTGTGCCCTGGGTCATCACAACTTACGTAGTGTCCTATGGTATTAGCGTAGGTGTCGGCAATCCACGACATCTCCCGTTCACCGGTGCTCATGTCAGGCGCAGGCACATCCACACCGGGCCCTGTTTGGCACAATCAGGAACAAAGAGGGGACGCACCATTAAACACAGACCGTTCCGTGCATGGAAACCAGAAGACTCAGCTGTGGTATTGCTTACGGTTAGGTTAGGGTTAGGCTGCACAGCCATTAGAAGTAATATTGCCCTTATTAATGGATGCAATGATTATGGTCTAAATCAGGGGTGTCAAACTCAATTTCATTGAGGGCCGCATCAGCATTGTGGTTGCCCTCGGGGGGCCCGGGGGTGTGTGGCCAGGGTGGGTGCGGCCTACTGGGTGGGCATGGCCAGCTCTACATCGTTCGCGTCAAGGGTGCCTGTGGGGGCCTGGGCAGGAGTGGGACAGATCTGAGGGTCTCTGGCAGAAAGGGGTGGGACTGGGGCAAGCGCCAAGGCATGGTCCATTTCTTCATTCCTCACAAAGGGTGACACCTCCCCAGCATGCACCCAGGGGGAGGGGCCGACACGGCAGGGGCCGGTTCCTCGCTGTTTCCAGACGGCCTTGTGGAGCTAAGACTGAATGTGTTTCAGCATAGATGGCCACCACAAAATTGTACATTGGCTCCCGGCCGGCCTGGGCCAGGGCCAAGGTAGTGGGGGCCGTTCCCTCACTGTTTCCAGGATGGCTTCACGGGCCACGTGAAACCACTTCGCGGGCCGCATCCGGCCCCCGGGCCTTGTGTTTGACATGTCTGGTCTAAATGGAGGGAAATGTCCCCATTCCATTAGAAGACAAAAAGAAGTAGACTATCCCTAACTTCTAGAAAAAAAAGAAATCTGTACCTTAAAGTTTTTTGTTTTAAAAAAAGAACATACTGACTTGTATTCCAAGCTACCAGAGGATATATATAAATGGAACGTTTTTCTTCTTTCCCCAGCTGTTCATCCTGCTCTATCGTATCTTGTTAAGAAATGGCCCCTGGCTTCCAAAAGGGGTTCAGGGTCCACAGATAGTTGCGGGTGGAAAGAAGGGAAGGGAAATGTATCCCTATGACTTGGATGCTGGAGAGATTATTAAAGAACGAACGGCATGTTTACAGCAAAAAAAGGGAACAGGATAAAATTGGGCGTTTCTCCAACCAGCCCAGAGCTCAACTCGAAAGCGAACAAACAAGTCAAATTGCTCTTTTGATTTGACAGCTTAACAAGCCAAGTGAGAGCTGATCTCTTTAATATGATTTTGTAG